GCACCCCAGGATCCCATTGGCCTTCTTGGCCACAAGGGCACACTGCTGGCTCATGTTTAACTTGTTGTCCACCAGCACTCCCAGGTCCTTCTCTGCAGAGCTGCTTTCCAGCAGGTCAACCCCCAGCCTGTACTGGTGCCTGGGGTTATTCCTGCCTAGGTGCAGGACCCTGCACTTGTTGGACTTCATGAGGTTCCTCTCCACCCCACTCTCCAGCTTGTCCAGGTCCCTCTGGACAGGTTAAGCATGAGCCAGCAATGTGCCCTTGTAGCCAAGAAGGCCAAGAGGCAACGGGCACAAACTGAACCACAGGCAGTCCCATCTGAACATGAGGAAAAACTTCTTTACTGTGAGGGTGACTGAGCATTGGAACAGGTTGCCCAGAGAGGTTGTGGAGTCCCCTTCCCTGGAGATATTCAAAACCCGCCTGGATGTGATCCTGTGCAATGTGCTCTAAAGGACCCTGCTTGAGCAGGGAGGTTGGACTAGATGATGTCCAGAGGTCCCTTCCAACCTCAACCATTCTGTGATTCTGTGATTCTGTGATTCTGTGAAGGGGAGAGTGTAAAATCTAGTGGAGGTAGACCTAGTGCAGTTTGTACCTCCCTGAAATACCAAGGGAACTAGGGTTTTTACTCCCTGTGAATCTATTAAAGATCTATTGGGCTTTCCCAGAGAGCCTTTCTGAATGTTGAGGATGGCAAAATTCTGTGGTGCCCAATAATGACTCTTTCTATTGTCAGAGATGATAAGGGCAGACCTATTTCAGTGCAAACAGAGACTTTGCTGAAATGTTGCTGTGACCTAGAAGGAGATATTTTCCTGATTCAAAACCTTGCAACATTGTGAGCACAGCGTGAGCTCGTGCTGGGGAAATGTCGTCAGTGAATAGCTACATGAAAACCAAATAAATGGATGTCAGTGCTCTGTTCACTATCTTCGAACAAACGAGTGGTCTGGGGATTTTGTGGAAAGAAACAGCAGTAAAAGCATATTCATGCAATTCTGCGAAGCAGATTCATTATGTGGTCAGCAGTGATCATGTAGGTCTCTGGGGCTCTGTGTCCATCTGTACAGATAAGAATATTCACCCTACATCAGAGATACTAAGATGTGAAGCCTCTTTCCTGGATGACTTATTAACACAAATGTAGAGAATGCTGGTTAGTATTATCACTACTGAGTAACTTAGAATATGGTAGCACTGCAAGTGCTGGAAAATTTAATTCTTGCCCTCAAGGATGTACAGCCTAAAATAATTGCTTGAAAAAGAAAGATGCAGCATAAAGTAGTATTATAACTACTTCAGTTTCCCTGAGCAAGCTAATCTGACTTCTGCTAGTGTGCTCTAGAAAGTAGTGAACTATCAGCATGGAAAGCAAGACAGGGGAAAGATTCCCATTGACCTTGGTGGGCTTTGGCTCAATCCATAGTGAAACAGAATGACTCTGCAGAAAAAGAGACATATTTTGCCAAATCTGGCTGTTGGATTTCAAGCAAAAGTATAGCATGATAATCCAGGTTACTCAGTGTTAATAGGGTATTTGAGATAGATAGCACAAATTTCTGGTAGGGAAGTGAATGAAAGCATTAATCAGACCAATTGATGTTTCTCGCTGTATATTGAACTACTGTTACTGAAACTAAGAGAACAAAACATCAAATCTTAAATGCTAATGTAGGCCAGAGCTGCTAATCCATTTTCTGGGAGCGAGGTGTAGATTGGCCTCCCCCTTGGGACAGACCCAAGCATGGCAGGGATGTGTTCTGTGGGGGATTGAGCAGGTGAAGCTGGTGAGTGCTACAGAGATGTCTTTGTGCAGGTGTCTCAAGGTGTGCTCCTTTTTCTTGTGTCATACTGAAAAATAGAAATAGCGACTGGTGACTGAAAATCCCTCTTGTGCAGCCATAAATCAAGAGGTGATTTCACCACTAAGGGGTGCTACAAGAGCATGTAACTGAAACACATGCAGCAACATAACTGCAGCTTGTGTACGGAAAATACAAATTGAATTCTTTTTAAAATCCGCAGAAACTAAAGTTATTAAGGAGCACATTGAAAACCTGACTTAATCGCACAAAAAGCAGAACAAGTCAGGGTTAGGAGGACAAGCTAGATCTTTAGGTTTTATGTGCACTACTGTATAAATAAAATTGTTTAAAAGTTATGGTGAGCCAGGCAGACATCTGAACACACTCTACCTCAGGGGAGCACTATGTCCTCAAAATAAATCCCTGCCAGATTTCCCTGTTATTTT